TTTACCGATTGAATTATTTTCAATAGATCCCACATATAGTATCTATTTATACTTTTCTGCTTACTCAGCCTTTAATGTTCCAATATGCTAGCAATCTAGTATTATATCTTATATAATGCCACAGCTTGAGACTTACTAGGTAAAAGCAAGTCCTTAATGTCTCTTATATATTCTTTGGATGTATTGATACCAGCCTGCAGTCACAGATATTGACCTATGAAGCATTATATATTAAAGTCTAAACCTGTGTACTGCAGTATCTACTTTTAGAGACATTAGGAAGGGAGTTTTTTGCCATTAGGCAGTTATTTTCTACTGTCACCTGACCCATTTTTCTATTATTGTATTTTCTCATTATATATATATATATATATATATATCTATATCTCACTTTGTATAGAATCATTACTATTCATTATTCCAGTGGATACTCAGGTACTAGTTATTTTGAGTATCTTATAGTTTGTCTAGGAACTTGTCCTGACAGTTTCGTAGTGAGTAATCGGGAGATGGATTGTGAGATGCTGGAGGACATAGCCCCCATGGCCGAGGAAATGGCCTTACTGATAGAATTGGATATAGTGGCATCCAGGAGGCTCTGAAATTCTTGGTTAGGGTCAGCCTGGGAATCAGAGCCAGAGGTACCCATAGGGGGGTTAGGGTGGCCAGGTAAGTCCCCACCAGCAGACTGCATGATAGCAGAAGTGAGAGTAGGCAAGTAATAAATATATATGGAAGGTGCTGGATTGCTTAATCCAAGCACAGGGTAGAGAATAGTAGTGAAAAATACCTGGGTCCTGGGTGATTAACAGAAGCAGCGTCGAGTGCAGCCTCCACAGAACTTAAAAACCGCAGCACAAGTGAAATAAAATGGCCGCCGGCACAGGGTGGTGACGGAAACCAAAAAGATGGCCACCGCGAGTGCTGTGCGCATGCGCGCGTTGACAAGTGAAAGTAAAAGTAACTGCCCGGCAATAATACCGGCAGGGACCCGGAGGAAGCCGGGAACGGGTCGAGGAGGGGGGGGACCTCGGGACGGTTCCCGGTCGGGAGGGGGGAGGGAGACAGAGCAACACAACCAGAAAGGGGGGCAAATAAACCCTAAGCACACTCCAGGACCCAGGGGAATGAAGACAGTAGTAAGAAGAAATACAGAATAAAGATAAAAATCTATGGTACTGAAAATTAGAAATCAAGTATAGGGAGATAAACAGAAGCCCTTAATAGAATAGGGGTAACATCTGCAATCCCACAGTAATTATATCACAACAAGCAAGAGAATAAAAATGTACTTAGCTGGTCTGAGGGAGCAGCAAAGAAAGAGGAAGAGGAAGACAGTGCTACACCTTATATACAGGGAGTGCAGAATTATTAGGCAAGTTGTATTTTTGAGGATTAATTTTATTATTGAACAACAACCATGTTCTCAATGAACCCAAAAAACTCATTAATATCAAAGCTGAATATTTTTGGAAGTAGTTTTTAGTTTGTTTTTAGTTATAGCTATGTTAGGGGGATATCTGTGTGTGCAGGTGACTATTACTGTGCATAATTATTAGGCAACTTAACAAAAAACAAATATATACCCATTTCAATTATTTATTATTACCAGTGAAACCAATATAACATCTCAACATTCACAAATATACATTTCTGACATTCAAAAACAAAACAAAAACAAATCAGTGACCAATATAGCCACCTTTCTTTGCAAGGACACTCAAAAGCCTGCCATCCATGGATTCTGTCAGTGTTTTGATCTGTTCACCATCAACATTGCGTGCAGCAGCAACCACAGCCTCCCAGACACTGTTCAGAGAGGTGTACTGTTTTCCCTCCTTGTAAATCTCACATTTGATGATGGACCACAGGTTCTCAATGGGGTTCAGATCAGGTGAACAAGGAGGCCATGTCATTAGATTTTCTTCTTTTATACCCTTTCTTGCCAGCCACGCTGTGGAGTACTTGGACGCGTGTGATGGAGCATTGTCCTGCATGAAAATCATGTTTTTCTTGAAGGATGCAGACTTCTTCCTGTACCACTGCTTGAAGAAGGTGTCTTCCAGGAACTGGCAGTAGGACTGGGAGTTGAGCTTGACTCCATCCTCAACCCGAAAAGGCCCCACAAGCTCATCTTTGATGATACCAGCCCAAACCAGTACTCCACCTCCACCTTGCTGGCGTCTGAGTCGGACTGGAGCTCTCTGCCCTTTACCAATCCAGCCACGGGCCCATCCATCTGGCCCATCAAGACTCACTCTCATTTCATCAGTCCATAAAACCTTAGAAAAATCAGTCTTGAGATATTTCTTGGCCCAGTCTTGACGTTTCAGCTTGTGTGTCTTGTTCAGTGGTGGTCGTCTTTCAGCCTTTCTTACCTTGGCCATGTCTCTGAGTATTGCACACCTTGTGCTTTTGGGCACTCCAGTGATGTTGCAGCTCTGAAATATGGCCAAACTGGTGGCAAGTGGCATCGTGGCAGCTGCACGCTTGACTTTTCTCAGTTCATGGGCAGTTATTTTGCGCCTTGGTTTTTCCACACGCTTCTTGCGACCCTGTTGACTATTTTGAATGAAACGCTTGATTGTTCGATGATCACGCTTCAGAAGCTTTGCAATTTTAAGAGTGCTGCATCCCTCTGCAAGATATCTCACTATTTTTGACTTTTCTGAGCCTGTCAAGTCCTTCTTTTGACCCATTTTGCCAAAGGAAAGGAAGTTGCCTAATAATTATGCACACCTGATATAGGGTGTTGATGTCATTAGACCACACCCCTTCTCATTACAGAGATGCACATCACCTAATATGCTTAATTGGTAGTAGGCTTTCGAGCCTATACAGCTTGGAGTAAGACAACATGCATAAAGAGGATGATATGGTCAAAATACTCATTTGCCTAATAATTCTGCACTCCCTGTACTGAAAGGGAGTGGTGCTACACCTTATATACTAAAAAGGGGTGGTGCTACACCTTATATACTGAAAGGGGGTGGTGCTACACCTTATATACTGAAAGGGGGTGGTGCTACACCTTATATACTGAAAGGGGGTGGTGCTACACCTTATATACTGAAAGGGGGTGGTGCTACACCTTATATACTGAAAGGGGGGGGGTGCTACACCTTATATACTGAAAGGGGGTGGTGCTACACCTTATATACTGAAAGGGGGTGGTGCTACACCTTATATACTGAAAGGGGGTGGATACTGATTAGTAGCACTGTTGAATATGTATGTATGTTAATGATATGTTATTTTTCTCTTTTACATACATTTTTCTCTTTGCTGCTGAGGGAAAATTTAAAGAAAGAGAAGCATAATAGGAGCCTCCGTGTCTTAAATAAAATTTCAATTGTACTCTTAATAGTTGATAACATGAGAATTATGCTGACTGTTATTTACATCAATTAATTAGGTAAATGAGAAATATAATTTGCATAATAATTTGGAACAGGGTGTAGGTGCAACTTACAGTAGCCACCCTTTGAGCTGATTTTCATGTCCGTGTACCTGCTCTCTGTTGCACTTGCTGTGTGATAATCTTTGCCAAGACACTTTTTCCTCTTATCTGAACCTGCAGGCCATGCTTGCTTATTGTTATATAGAAAATTGTGCAATTTTATCTAAAAAATCTAACAAATAAGAGGGATAGAATAAAATACCAAACATTAATTAACAAGGTAAAGGTGCAGATATAATTATAAGCAATATCACTATGAAAAATATTGTAAACATATAAAATTTATATAATATACATAATAAATATATAAAAACTATATCTATGGATAGTCAATACATTGTTAAACACAGATCTGCACACCAGTCAAGCCATAAAACGTGCTTTTCCCACAGAAATCTCCAATTTGCAGTGCTGTTACTACCGCAAAGGATTGTGGGCGGGCATATGTAAATTAGTTAAACAAAAGCTCATTCTGCCTCATTATTCTGCTTTAAACATGGATTCCTTGGAGTTTGAGTTTGCTGTATACAACAGCTTTGAAACACAACTCGGGAAGAGATACAAAGTCATATTTACTTTATTTTTACTGGTATATGTCTATATTTTATTATTGTAGACTCAGTGGAGTAAAGCGACATGATAGGCAATATAAGGAGGAGTTCTATAATATATTATACACTTAGTAAGGAACAATCCTGAACTTAACAAAGGGAGAAAAAGAGGAGAAAAAAAATCTAGTGCTGTGGTATATACAATAATAATTGGTGATAAAAAATAAACAAACTCACAAAATGTGGGGACTGGCTCAAATCCCAAGCACTATGGTGTGTTGAGATGACACCTTTCCCTCATCATCTTCTTAAATTAAAAATAAAACAGAGAGGGATATCTTGTGTAGTGTTATAGGAACCAAGTAATAGCCCGTTTGAAAACTGCTCACCTGAGTAAGAGCCAATAACGAAAACCTGGCTTTAGGTATCAAGAGCCAGGTTATATTTTTGTCACCAATTATTATTGTACATTCTACACCGTTAGATTTTTTATTTTATTTTTTTCTCCTGTTTTCCCCCTATGTTAAGTACGGGACTCTTCCTTATTTCAATTCTTTCCAAGAGGTGAGTGTATTTTAATCAGCGCTCCACTTAGGAGACTGGTGGTGGATTTCCCCTCCAACCCCCTTAATTCACTGTTAGATTTGAGTGGCCAAGAGAGATTTCCACATCAGTGTGGTAGCTGCTATAAGATTGACATTTCTGGAAATTGTTTAAGCACCAGAGCACTTTTGTATTTTATTTAATGTATGATACTATTCTATAGTATAATATAGCCC